TTGCTGGGCAGCACCGGCTCACCGGGGACTGGGGGACAGCAGGGCACGGGGGTTTGAGGGAATTTCCCCGAGGTTTGGGGCTGCTAAAGCACCCCGGGGGAGGCGTTGCAGCTCCAGTGCGCAGCACCCCGGGGATGGCTCTCACCCAGCGGCACCGCGGGCGCCCAGCCCCAGTCCTGCCCAGGTGCCAGAGAGCGGCTGTGCCTTGGGGATCCTCAACCCTCTCCCTGTTGTTGTTGTTGCAGGATCTGCCCCGTCCCCTCCCTCCCCTTCACGTGCACCCCGTGAATGCAAGAGCCGATACGCCAAGGCATGGCTGAGAGGTGGCTGAAGTACCTGTCGGCAGTAAAGGCCGGGGGGCAGAAGGGCAGCATGGGGGACTTGGACGACCTGGACGACAGCCTGACCAGCCTCATGTGGCTGCAGGATTTCTCAATCACCAGCGCCAGCATGGGGAAGTCCTCCTGCTGCCCCAGCGGTCCGGACCCCCATGATTGTCACGGGATCCCCAGCTTTGCTGCCCCATGCTCGCCTCTGGCTGCCGACCCGGCGTGCATGGGCATACCCCACACTCCCTGCAATCCCATCTCCTCCTCCACCTCGAGGACAGCGCACCATGCCATGGCCATGAACCCTCAGCTTGCAGAGGACATCGACTACAAGACCAACCCGCATGTCAAGCCGCCCTACTCCTACGCCACCCTCATCTGCATGGCGATGGAAGCCAGCAATAAGCCCAAAATCACCCTCTCTGCCATCTACAAGTGGATTACCGACAACTTCTGCTACTTCCGACACGCCGATCCCACCTGGCAGGTAGGACATTTGGAGACATATTGCCTTGTCCCCTCTCCCCGCAGGGCTGGGGAGGGCTTTCCACAGCCTCCATCACACAAAGCAAGGTCCCGTGGGGATGCTGGATCCCTCCAGGAGGAGAGTGGCACCGGCAGCTGGTGGGAAAGAGCAATAATGGGAAAGAGCTTGGGTGTGCACAGAAATGCCATGGCCTCGAGGGTGGTGGAAGGAAGGAGCCACTATGGGGGAGAGCACAGGGCCATTTTGGGAGCAGGGAGGTACCCATTGGGCTGCTGGTCCCTGCGGCTCCTCTTGGCCCCAGGGTGAAGGCATCTGTGTCCCTGGCTCCACCTTTCTGGAGGTCTTTTGGGGTTCTGAGTCCCTCGGGGCTGAGCACGCATGAAATCGCCATCTCTGAGTGCTGAGGATCAGGTGTAGGAGAGGGATGGAGAGGTCCCCCAGGGAGATGCTCCTTTTTGGACAAATGCCTTGTTGGGGACGTTCAGAGCAGAAATGTTGCTGCTTTCCAAGCCAGGCAGGCAGGTCTCCTGTCCCTTGGACAGGTGAGGGAGGCTCTATCACTGTGACGAGCTGGTGAGGCCTCAGAGAGAAGCCCAAGAGAGGTCAATTAGGGCTGCTCTCCCCAGCTAGCACAAGCACATCCCCAGGGGGTAAGGGGGAGCCCTCAGGCTCACCAGCTTTGGGGACGGCCTGAAGCACAGGGGCTTTTCCCGGCCACCTTGGCTCACTGCCCTCCTCCGTCACACGAGGGGACCTCTGGCACGTGAGGCTTTCTAGGCTGTGGCAGGGCAGGAGGGACCCGGGTGGCTTGTCTCTCCACTCGGGTTATTCCCAGCCCAAATCTGCAGTATGCCAGCGATCCCGACGGCGGTGCTCACCCAGGCAGGGCTGGGCAAAACTGCTGCAAACTCCTGGCGTTGCCCACCTTCTCCCCAGGCAGGTGGGTATCCAGCGGCTCTTGATGCACGTCACGGAGAAGGGAACCCCCCGGTCCCTCCCCAGGGCCACCTGGGTCCCCCAGCCTCCCCTGTGCTGGGGGGACCTACAGGAGCGATTTGGGAGGAGGAGCTGTGTGCCAGCGTGCTGACTTTCTCCTGCAAACTCACGGCTGGATAATCACCATGTTTTTTAATTAAATGTTTTTTTAAAAAAAAAAAAAAAAAAAAAGGTGGTTTTCAATCCCCCTCTGCATAGATGCAGGGGGTTCATGGGATTGTTGCAGGCAGGAATGATAAATATGTTAACCGGCTGGGTAATAACAGAGAGGCTGAATGAAGTTTGGGATGGGGAGGGGAGATGGGGAGCAGAGAATTCAGCTTGCAAGTCTCTGACCCTCGTAAAATGTTGTTAAACTGTAAATTTGGAGTTAGCACAGCCTGGATTGTTTGCAGGGATATTTGTGTTCCTGCTGCTTCTTTCTTCTTTTTCTTTGTTTTTCTTTTTTTCTTTCTTTATTTTTCATTTTTTCTTTTTTCTTTTTCCTTTTTTCTTTCTTTTTTCTTTTATTTATTTTTCCTTTTTCTCCTTTATTTTCTTCTCTTTTTCTTTCTTTTTTCTTTTTTTTCTTTTTCTTTTTGAGACTGTGTTCTCATCCCCTATCCCAATTCCCGTATGTGAAGACAGCCTGGAAAGGTCATGCCACCCATACTCCGGGGGGAGATGGATATATTCCTGTGGGAGCTGAGTGCTTTGGAGAGGAGCCAACACACCCAAGGAGCTTCAGCCCAGAGGAGGGTTTTGTTGTGTGTGTGTATGTGTGTGTGTGTTTTTCAACAGCTCTAAGCATTCAAGCCTTGTTTTTCCTATTCGGCACTACGGATTATGGATGAATAAGCATAAAGATATCCAGGCAACATTAAAAAAAAAAAAAACCTCTACCATATCCAATCTCTTAATACAGTCTTGGCTTTGTGGAGTCCAACGCTGGGTTATTTACCCAATAACTGAGTTTCCTTTCTGATTATTCACATCACTCCAGGCACATTCAGGGCTCCAGAACAGCTCGACGGGAGCAGAAACTTCTCTTTTCCTTTTTTTTTTTCCTTTTTTTTTTTTTCTCCCCTCAGTTCATGTGAGCGGTGGCTGATGAAGATGCAGTGATTTCACACCGAGCTTCCCCAGGCCAGGAGGCACCTCTGGGGACACACAGGGCTGTGGTGGAACAGCCCACGTGTCTCTCTGGTTTTGCCCGCCCGGTTTGTGGCAGCCTGGCTGCAGGGAGGCATGGTGTCTGGTTTTTTGTTTGTTTTTTTTTCCCCCAAATATTTTCCCCTCAACGCTAGCAATAAGCACAGATGAACTGGAGGCTGCAAGGAGGGCCCTGATGATCCATCCCCCACGGTGCTGCCATGTGTTGCCACTCGTAATGGGGCTGTGGCCACATCAGTGTAAAGACCCTCCTCTTCCTCCTTAGCCACCAAGGAGGTCCCAACCTCCTCCAGTTTAGCTCTGCACCCAGAGCAAGTCTGGCTGGTTTCTCCCAGTGCTCTGCATGACCCAAGGCCCCATGGTCCCAATTTACAGTGGAGGAGAGTTGCCCCAAACCTTCCCATTTTCCAGCAAGAAAACTCTGCTGGTGACTCGGACAGGGGAGTTTCTGCTGGGCATGTAGCCTGGGATGTCCTGACATTGCCATTTCTACTTTCTTTTTCCCAAAGGTCCTTGCTGAAAATGTGCTTTTCCACCAGCTTCCCCATGCAGGTAGGTGCTGCAGCAGCAGACAAGCATTCAACCTTGTTTTTTTGTTTTTGTTTTTTTTTTTCTCTCTTGGGTTTAGAACTCCATCCGGCACAACCTCTCCTTGAACAAGTGCTTCATCAAGGTGCCCCGGGAGAAGGGTGAGCCAGGGAAAGGTGGGTTTTGGAAGCTTGACCCCCAATATGCCGACCGGCTCAAGAACGGTGCCTTCAAAAAGCGGAGGACACCCCCAGTGCAGATCCACCCGGCTTTCACCAAAAAACTCCAGGAAGATGCACAGTGCGCCGTCAGCCCAGCCGCTTCGCCTTGCACCTCTAATAACATCCTCAATGTCAACGTGGAGTCACAGCAGCTGCTGAAAGAGTTTGAAGAAGTCACCGGCAACCAGAACTGGAATCCAGTGGATGGCAAAGCAGGGTACAAACGCAAGCAGTCCTTGCCCAAGCGAACAGCCAAGGCGGCTCGGCTTTCCAACTCTGCCTTGCTGAGTCAGGAAGAGCAGACCGAGCTGGGATCACTGAAAGGTGACTTTGACTGGGAAGCCATCTTCGACACCAACCTGAATGGAGACTTCTCCAGTTTTGAGGATCTGGAGCTCACGCCTCCAATCAGCCCCATAACACGCGATCTGGACTTGACGGTACATGGGCACAACGTGGACTATCCCCAGGAGCAGGAGCAGGTCCTCACCGAATCCAACCAGAACAACCTGGACTTTGATGAAACCTTCATGGCCACTTCTTTCCTGCAGCATCCCTGGGACGAAGGGACAAACGATTACCTCTCCGACCCTGTCAATGTGGAGCAGTTGTTTGAACTCAACGATGCCTCTTTGTCACCGGATGTGAGCGACTGGAGCAGTCTGGCATCCCTTTTATAAGAGGCCAGGCACCATTCAAAGCCCACAGATTTTAATACTCCCCCCCATGCTGCTGGGACTTAGAAGGGATGAGATTTTCTAGAGACAGAGACATCCACAGTGACTTTTACCAGCTTCATCATAAGATTATTCACAGGAACACTGGGGGGAGAAAAAAAACACCACCACAGGAACTTCTCGATAAATCTTTAAAGGACACATCAGAAGTCTCTAGTCCACGAATTTCCTCAAGAGAAGAAATATAACACTACTTATTTTTTTACTTTTAAAGGAAGAAATGTGAATTATAATTTTTTTTCTGTGGGAATGGACATGGCATATGTTCCTCCAGGGCTAAAGGAGAGCACCTGCAAAATCCCATCCAAGACATGAGATTCCTGGTGGCTTAGGACTTGATAGACTAAGTGCAATTTCCTCACCCTTTTGTCTGTTTCTCTCTTTCCTTTTTCTGTCTAGGGTAGTTGGTAGGTATAGTGTGATAATTAGCTAGCAAGCAAATAGAGGTCCCTTCTGGATTCTCTGAGTTCAACCTCCCTCCTGACTTGTGCCTAGGGAAGAAGAAAAGGTTTATAAATTCAGCAAGTCTGCCTCTTTAGATGTTTTTATATAATCTATTATATATTATATATTCAAAGAAACCTATATTTTTAGCACTAGAATTTCTTAATAGTGGGGGGATAGGGGAAATGCAGTTTGGGAATTGTTTTATATTTTCACTGTTTAAAGGCTTGTGTTCATTGTTCTGTAAACCAAGATCACGCGAGGGAGGATTCCTGCAGCAGCAGCAACAGGTTTTGGTAAGAATCCAGAAATTGGCCCGGCAGGAGAGGAGCAGTGGGGACCGGGGCGCTCCCGGAACTGGCTTTTGTGTTTTTTGGTACCCAAAATCCTCGCTGCAGTTGCTGAAGGGTCTAGACCACCACAAACCCTCTCTGTCTTTCATGAGCTGACATAGCCCCTCTCCATTTTTCTTGGTTCAAGACCGTTGCTCTCTGCTTCTTTTGCTCATCCATCAGGCTCCGAGCGGCTGCCAGGGCAACGCAGGACCCCAGTTAAGGACACGCTTTTTGGGGGAGCTGTAAGGAAAACACCATGGCGTGGCCATCAGCTAGCAGTGATGGGGTCACTCTTCATCGAATGCTCCCAGGTGGGACCCAGGAGGAAAGAAATCCACATTCAGGCTCCATCCACGAGCTCAGGCCAAAGACTGTGCATGCAACAGGCTCTGGGGACGGCAGCGGAGATAAAGTCCCATCCCGCCGGGAGCAGCTCTTCAGCCGAGAGATCTGCCTGGATTGACACAAATGGAAGCTTTCCCCTTTGGCTCGGTGTGCAGCGAGAGTGTGGCAGTGTCTCTGCAAAGCAGCTCAGAAACATTCCGGGAGCAGAACCAAACTGCTGAAACTTGACTTGAAGCTCTTGAACTGGATTCTTCACCTCTCCTTCGCTATAGGTTATTAGAGGTAGAGTAGCTGTTAGGTAGGAGTAAGTAGAAGCTGTAGTTTTAATGGTGTGTCTTAGACTTGCTGAAAAATGGAAGATTGTAGAGAGTTTCTTTTTTGGTTAGAAAAGCACTTAGGACCTTTAATGTGAGCAATATAATTTAGCAAGAGTATAGTTGTAGTATAAGAATCAATAAGCAAGCCTTAAAAAAAAAAAAAAAAAATTTACCCTTGGAGTCATTTTCACCCAAATTTGGGGAGACGGTTGGAGCCATGGAGGTGCGAGCACAAGTCCTGTATCCCCCGGTAAAGCGTGGGGCAGGCTGAGAACCAACATCTTCAGCTCATGCAAGCAGCAGAGATGGGGCTGCTTTGCCCAGGTGCTAGCATCTGAAGTCCCCTGGGATGCCACCGCACAGCTGGGGATGGTGTCCCAGGGCCGATGTCTCTGGAGGGGCTTTGGGGGTCTGTGTAGATGTTTCTATCTGTATTTGCAATGCTTCTTGTTATTTGTTGGTTTTGTTATTTGTTGTTTATGTTATTTGTTGGTTTTGTTATATTTTCCTGTTTTGGGGCCTCTATACTGATGAAGAACTGCAGAGATATGTGTGCAATTTAACCTTTTTCATGGAAAGTTATTTACAAATTAAAAAAAAAAAAAAACCCAAAAAACCACAAACGAATAAGAAAAAGCCCTTTTGCTTCCTTATTTCCCTGCAGCACGGCCTGGCTCTGTCTGACCCTCTGCCCTGGAGGTAGGGGATGTCTCACCAGCCCAGCCCTGGTTGTACACCCAGCCCTGGAATATGGGTGCTATCACCCCTCTCTGTGGCGGCACAGCAATTCCCTGTGGGTAAACTGAGGCACAATCCACCACCTGTGTGGCAATGGTTACACACCGCATCTGCGGCACGAGGGTGGCCGTGCCTGGTCTCCCTAGTCCTGGGAGCTGCTCCCAACCCCGGGAGCATCCTTCCCTGCCTCTGCAGGGAGCTCTTGGGGGTGACATGGGGTGACAGTGCCTGGGACTGTCACTCTGCTTGTGCCAAGTCCCTACCCGGCCCTGTAGATGCCCTGAGAAACACAAGTGGCTTTGGAGCCCTCCTGGGTACAGGGCAGCGAGAGGAGCTGCACAGAAGCCACAGGAATAGCTGAGCTCTCGTGAGGCCAATTACCTCGAGGAGCGGTTGGGTTCTGCCAAGGCAGGGAAGAAAAGCAGCGTACGCTCAGCTGCCAGCCCGGATGGCGCAGGCAGGGCAGGGGGCGGCGGGTCTGGGGGCAGCATGTTCCGGGAGCCCCAAGGAAAGTGCAGGCTGGCTCAGGGGTGCGGGGCTGGGTGTGAGGCTGGCTGGGGCCAGGCTGCGGGTAACTGTGGGGCAGTGCTGCCACTTGGGATGGTGGGAAGGGGACTCCGGAGAAGGGTGGTCTGTCCTCCGCTTGGTGGCTGCCCAGCATCCCCAGGAACAGAGATTCCCCTCCAGATCTTGCCTGGGGCTTATCCAGCTTGGCGCTTCGGATGGACCCACTCCAGGATGTCCCATCTCTCTTGCACTGGGGACACAGCCCTTCCCGTCTCCCCAGCGGGTGAGGAGCACCCTATCACCTCCCCAGTGATCTACTGGATCCCACTGGTACCAGGCACTGCAGCAGCCAGCCCCAGGGCTGCCCCTTTGCTCTGCAGTGGTCATCACAGCTGCTCCCAATCCAATCAATCTCAACCCAAAATAAAGGGCTGGTCTTGTGCCTTGTGCTGGGAGGGCAGGATGTGGCTTTTGGGATGAGGTAGGGGTTAACCTTGTGGGGGATAATTTTGATGTGTTGGGGGGGGCTTTTGGAGGCAGAGCGGGGCTCTCCTTTAGTTTGGGGATCATGAACCCCAAAAGGTAATGGGCAATCCCTGTCCTGGCTTCTCTCTGCTTCCCCCCGTAGTGGTGACACTGGCAGGGCTGCAAAAAGCTGGCAGCCCCCTCGTCCCTCAGTTCACTTCTTCATTTGGTTTTGCCAGGCACCACCGTGTGGTTTCTGTTTCTAAATCCCCTGAAAAAAGAGGAGCCCCCAGCACCCCCTACGCTGCCAGAGGACTGAAAAAACCCGACCTTGCCAGGAAAAAATATTCCAGCCTGCCGGAGCCAGCCGAGGGTTTTAAAGTGAGAAAGGGTGAATATAAAGGAGGCACCAGGCGAGGCCTGAAACAACCTTGTTTTGTTCGGCTTCTGAAAGCAATGAAAACAACTTGGACGTGATTTTTTTTTTTTCTTTCAATGAGATATTTTTAAGCAGCAGCCAGGAGGTGCAGAAGTGGGGGTGCTGTGGGGTGGGAGCATGGCTTCCCTTGGGTGTGGAGGCAGGCAGGATGTGGCAGAGGCAGGACACCGGGCTGCTGCCCACACAAAGCCCATGTGTGCTTGGGGCCAAGCACGGTGCCAGGAGGGAGGTCGGGACCCGGCAGCGCCCGGCCTGCCTGGGCTTGCCGACGGCAGCGGGGTTACAGTCCGTGGCTGGGGCTGGTCCAGCCCTGCAGGCTGCCCCGGCTC